GTGTGAAAAATAGTTGGAGGGGCGAGCGCGTGCACAGCCACCAGTGGAGGAAAATTGAAGGCAGATTTTCCAGCGGCAGGCGTTGGCTCCAAATTGCTCGTTTTGGACGGGGGATTTGCTCTGGCACGAGATGTGACAATGATATTCATTTCAGAGCTCACCCCCATTTATACTGAGCTGAACACACACACACACACACACACACACACACACACACACACACACACAGGCCCCAGCTGAATCAAAACTATTACAGAAAACTCAAACTGCCTTCAAAGGAGAAAGAGAAACATTCCTCATAGCCTCAAGTTTAAGGCACTGATCAAAAGGCACATAAACTGTATCCCTCTCTCATGCTCTCATGCTCTCATACACACACACACACACACACACACACACACACATTTATGTAAACTGTGTTCGGACGTCCACATGCCCAGGCCTGTAACATGTGCCCACATTGGGCTGATTTGATCCAAGCCCAGTGTTGTGTTTCTCCAAATAATCATGTCCAACTGGCCGGCATGGAGCCCATTACAGAAAACTCCACAGATGGAGTTTATAGTTTCCTCCTCTCGGCCTCAGTCAGCAGCTCAGAGGAACATGGGAGGAAAATAAAGAGAGTGACACTCATGCATCATTTCATCACAGAATAGCAACAGTTTCTTGCTCAGACTCCAAATTAGTATGCAATATAATATTTGACCTTTTTATTGTTCTTTTTTTTGTTTTAGTGTGCGCCAGGTCTTCCTTGGCAACCGCCATTTATCTTTCAATTGAAATTCGCCTGTTGTGTGTAAAACAACAAATAGATACATTTTAGACTGTAAGTTTGAGAAGTTTAGCTTTTTCCCTTGAAGTAAAAAGGACTTTTGTAGAAAAGAATCATGTTCATATTCCTCAAAGTCAGGCAGGGAAAGGTAAAAGTATTGTTTTGATGTTAGTTTAGAAACTGGAGGATTGAATCAGCACTAATATTGAACAGATCGTCTTCTTACCAAGCCCATTTTTGTCTGTAATCCAGTAATGTAACATCTTATTTTCCTCACTGCAGTGAGAGGTATTCAATTAGTTTCACTTTAATCAACTTGTCTATTCAACTGGGAGGCTCCATCAGCTGAGGAAGGCTGCGTGTTCTGATCTTCTGCTACTGAATTTTGTCAACTTGTTCAACATATCTTCTAAGATCTAGTTCCTGATGGCAGTGCGGCTCTACCTTCCTTATATTTTCATCTTTCAAGATGCATCTGTAGACGGTATTTTAGGTTGATTTCTATTTAAATATTGAAATTGACAGAAACTACTTGACAAGATTAGTTTGTCAGCTAAAGAACACTTGATCAGTTTAATGACTCTTTCCTCGTCCTGGTGGTCAGCAGCTTCTCCTGACCTGCAGCTGTGTGGACCGTCAGTGTCCAGCAGAGGGAGTAAGACAGCTGATAATCTGAGGAAATGACGCTGTAAAGGTTACACATGGACAGACGCTGCCATCACCTTCACCTTCCCAGGTGAGCAAAAGTCACAGTTGTCTCTCAGCAACAAAAATCAGATGTTGGTCGAATTTTTTTTTTTTTTAATTGAACAAAACTGTTTCCTGTTGTTATTTTTAGCCTGCCAGTTGGAGTTGGAGCTGTTGGAGGTGGATGGATCTGCAGCTCTGACCCTCACGTCATGACTTCAGAGTGAGCCGAAGGAGCCAGAGGTTTGGACTGTGTATCGCATGCATAGGACCAGCTGACAGGTGCACATGATTGTGGGCACTCAACAGGCTCTGTTTATAATCTGATAACGTTACCCGTCTTTTGAAGAGACGGTTTTAAAAGCAACAAAACCCAAGCGGACTGTAAGGCCCGTGGAAGGAATAATGTAATATTCCCCGTGTGCAGTACACATTCTTACATATTTCCTACACGTGGTGTTCTGCTGCGAGAGGCTGGACTTCCTGTAAGAGATGGAGAAAAGTCCTCCAAACACTGAAAATAGTTCATGTGCCATGAGGGAATATGAACTCTGGCGATGATTATATATATAGTGACGATTTCTCGGAGCTCACGTCATGTCACTCACCATAATTGTTGTTTTGGTTGTTGCCCTGCCGGACCTCAGCAGGGCCAAGAGAATTAAAATGCTAATTCACCCAGGACCAAGAACGCTCACAGCAGCCATTTGAGTCGAGCCAGAAGCTTTTTGTCACACCATAATTAAGTTACTAAAAACTATCTTTGTCACTGTGTTACATGCAGCATGGGAAAGACGCAGCATGTGACATTTAGGTTTGTACCGACATCCTGTGCTTTTGAATCTGAAAAGTTCTGTCATGTGGAGAGTAATTCAGAAACAGGTGCCCTCACTTTTGGTTTTTACCTCCACATGGAGTGATGTGTCTAATCTCTGTAAACTGTGGGCTTGTTTAGAACCTGTCTGATCATCTGACTGCTCGCCTCTTGACCCGTCCGACTTCCTTACATTTATTTCACCGTGTTCCCAGATCTCAGAAGTTAACGCGGTGACAAAAATGTTCCCATTTTTCATAAATGATGGCCTAAACTACCAAAACAAGACCCAAGTTGTAATAAACCAAGCAGTCTCAGTTAGCTAAACTTCTTTTGCAACCATATCCATATTAGAGATACTATAACTATACTATAACATTACCATGCAGTGCCAAGATTTTAAAAGTGAATTATAACAATACAAGCACATGGCAGCTAAGTGATGGTTAAGAAAACATTTTTTGTTAAGCAAAAGCACGCAAAATCCACCCTCTTACATAACTCAGTGCACGCATCCACCGCCCTTAACGGGTCAGCACGCCTGAAAACAAACTAATTCGTATGACTATATTGTCCAAACGCATCTAAAGTCAAGTGTTTCTATGGTTCTGGATGTCCTCGCTGGAGGGCGGGGTCAAAATAGCCTGCCATCGTTGATCTCTCCCCAACAACTCTGTGTCTTTGTAGATTCAGCGCCATGGATCGTACAAATGGGAAAAATCCGTTGCTCTCTGTCTTTTCCCGCGAATAGTGGCAGAAATAGTCCGATTGAAGAATGGAAAAAGGAGTTTGAGAGAGAGAAAGTTCAAACCTACTCTCACCTCCACACACCTGGACGACGACTGAGGTGAGGTGGGGGGGGACTGTCTGTTTTGGAAAGTGACAAAAATGGTCGTACAGAGGTCCATAAAGTCTGACAGGGGACAATGGGACCAGCGCTTTGCTTAAAGCATACATGAGGCCTCTACTTTCTGCCCAGCCACATCAAGCGCACACTATTCCTGCATTGGCACTGAGCACTGTCACTGGAGGGGAATTGTGCTGTGTATCTACAAAAATAAGCCCAAAGTTGTAATACACCAGAGTTCTCCTTTAAAGTTTATATGGTCTCCAGTTTCTAAGAGAATTTAATGACCCTTGAGCCCATTAAACCGTTGTGAAATGTATACTTTTAAAAATTGTATGTTAATCAGAAAAAAAGGTAAGCATGTTTTTTTATGGGAAAAAGCAGCCAGATTTTCTCACTTCCTGAGCAAAAGAACCGAGCAGTCGTTGGCGATGGGAGTACAGTACACATGGTCATCAGCGTCAACCTTCAGATGGCAGTTTGAAGTTAATTATGTTTCCTTTACAATCCAACAGAGGGTGTATTCGAGCCCGCATCTGTGTTTAGGAAAAGTGCGTAATAATAGTGACTTAATCACACAAACAGTGCAACCTCTCAGTCAACTTGACTTTGCGTGGAAACTCCACATCTCGGGAAATTCTTTGGGTTGTTCACCCAAACCACACACTGTTAACAGCTGTGCAGTATTTCACCCGAGCTGCTCAGAGATTTTCTCTCTCTTTTTTTTTTTTTCTTGTGCTCTTTTGCAAAACCACTCACTAATGCAGTATTTTTTGATCATGTGGCACTGATAGCGGGACCAAGATCCCTGCATGCAGAGAGGGAGAAAACCAAAAGTTAAGAGGAAAAGAAACGAAGAGAATAAAAGAGGAAAAAAAAGAAAGGTGGATGTTTTAAAGGAGAAGGGTCAAGAAACGCTCTCGTTCCCGCTCTCCTGCGCACACACACACACACACACACACACTCACTCTGCACGCAGACTCCCCGCCCCTCCCTCGCTCTCACTGTCTCCTCTGTAATGAGCTCCAGATGTGTTGCTGAGGATGGGGGTGGGTGGGTGAGGGCGAGGGAGGAGGAGGAGAAGGAGCGCTGGTGTGTGTGTGGGAGGGGGGGGGGGGGGTGGCTGCCTTGCATGTCATGTGCTCAGGCGAAGAGAGACGCTGTCCGAGGGGACGCTGTCAGCCCTGATGGAGTGGTTGGCCAGGGCCTGGGGGCGAATATGGGGGGTGGGAGGAGGAGGAGGGTGAGGGGTGGGGGGGTGGGGGGTCAAAAAGATCCCCACATCTGGAATCACTTCAGGTCAGCCCAGGCCCTGGCCGTGAAAGGTGAGACCGGGCGCCTGGCAGGGGAGAGGGGGACAGGGGTCTGACACTGGACATACCACAGTCAGGGATCAGTGATCAGGCAAACAACCAACAGCAGAAAAGAAAACGGCTGAATAGAAAACAGAAATATCCCTTTTTTAAAATGTGGCATAAGAGGACGATGAAGCGCCTCTTTTTTACGACCAACCCTCACTCTGCTAAAACACGCAACACGTGGAAGAAGTCCTTCAATCCTTTACTTAATTGAAAATGGAGAAAATGCTCCATTACAGGTAAAAGTCTTACGATGGAAATAGATGGCAGGAAAACCTCCCACACTGGAGATAATGAAATGTTGTTGCTCCCCAAATTTTCCTGCTTTCATGGGGATTTTCCTGCTTTCAGATCAGATGGATCATGAGGATTACACGCCAAAGTTGTAAAAAAGCCTCATTCCCTCTTTTTACAAAAACGACAACGAGGCTGTTTCTAAGAGTTTACAAAAGATCTTTACTCGTGATGAATGTGAAATCTGGATCTGTAAAGTAGAAATTACAATAAAAAGAAAAAGGAAACACTCCAGCATCTCAAAGCTGTACTGAAGAAAGACGAAGATGCCAAATAACAGCATTCAGGAAGCACAAAACAGCGCTGGAACAGAACATTTTATAAGATTGAAGTTTCCTGAAATAACTGATATTTAACAGGTTTAGTTTCATGCCGAATTTAATAACAGAAAGCTATAAGAATTTAAAATATGCTGAAGGCAAAGTCTCGCAATGTGTATAATGCTTGCCCGCGACAAATCAAATTTACTTCTTTTGAAGGGAGTTTAGTTTGTGACAAAAAGAAGAAAATCAGCGTTGCGCTTTTCTTGGGTAATTATGAGTTTTAAACAATAAACATCTCCAAAAAATCATTTCTACAGACTGTGTGCTCATGTGACTACACCTATATAACACGTTCCCCTCAAAAATCAAGACTCCACCACATCAGCTGCAGCTTCATTCGACCCCACTTTTATGGCCCGTGTGCGGCGTACGAGGACGAGTGTCGACATGTGTTTGTTGACGGCAAAGGTTATGAGGGGCCAAGGAGAAGAAACACCTTGTATGACAGCCGCGGGAGTCAAACGAGGCCCAGGGGCCCTCCATATTGAGGAGAGGATTTCCCTGCTCATGAATATCCTGTTTTTAAGATGGAAAATTCAGGTTGCGGCAATCAGGGAAAAAGAAAACACACAAAGAGGGAGCAGCTTGAGGTTTTTCTGTCGAGGAGAAACTGTTCTCGAGTTGTAAATCTCCCTTTTATGGGGCATGCACGAGGTCCTGGATCATATTGCTTTCCTAATGGTCTCAACTACCATTATACTTATTTCTTACATAATTTAAGTCAGTCTGCATTGAGATTTTTCACTCAGAGAAATCCAAAAAGTTTTTGAAAAAGTGGAAAATTTCTATTTATCCCTCTTTTGTGAGATCTGTTGAACTGGACACTGTGGCATTGCATTGCTTGAAATGCATTTTTATTAATATACAAGGTTTTTTATTCTGTTACAAATAAAGGATATCATAGGAAGTTAAGAGATGGTTTTGGATTCAGAAATACATTAGCCTCTCCTATATATTGGACTATTACATGAAAATCAAAATGCGTTGAAAATGTTTGCTCGTCAGTGGTATAGCATGGAAAGAAATGTGGAGAAAGAAAACTCTCTTTTTAAAAGAATTGCATAAATGTCAGAGGAAGTCCTTGTTGTTTGTTGTTGCTTTTCAAAGAGTGTTGATCCCAAATTTGGTGTGTCATTTTATCCAACACCACAGCCGAAGGCACGAAGGGAATTCCACGTAGTCCGTACATGGGTCTCTGTTGAGAACAAGTTCTCTGATTGTTGAAAAAACTCGCCCTCCACATCACAAATGTAAAACTATGCAGATATGCGACTATAGCATCCAGTCTAGGTGTCTTTGTGTACAAACGAGAGTTCGGTGATGCTCAGGAGGATTTTAAAAAGGCGGTTAAGGGGAAATCCTGCCATCACTCGGTGTCCAACAATTTGCATATAGGTGTAGTATCGCCACCGAGGCTGATCCAGTAAAGGACGGGAGGCTTCATGATCCAGGGTATGTAAGATGATGCTCAACCCAGAGACGGTGTCCGTCCGCGGGGATCCAGCGGTAGGGGGGTTCCCCTCCCCTCCTGCGCCAGTCCCCGTCCGCTCCTCCTCTCAGTTCACCGTGGGCACCTGGTTCAAGCTGTACTCCTTGGCTTTGAGCCGCAGGTTGGCGATGCTGTTGGCCATATTCATGCCCTGGGACGTGTTGGTGTTGGAGCAGGTGGGCGGGTAGTTGGCCATGGTGCTGAGAGACAAGAGGAGGGGGGGGGGGGGGGGGGGGGGGGGGGGGGAACGGGGGGGGGGGGGGGGGGGGGGGGGGGGAAAGGTTACATCACCTGTGGCTGACAGCGAGCTGAAGCTCAGCATGAGCCGCAGCTGTGGAAATATGAAAAGGAACAAAAACAGGTATCACTGATCACGAGAAGAGATTTAGAGAAAATGTGATGTTAAAAAGCACCCACAACCCAAAAAAAGCACCAAAAGGAGCTGAAGCAGTGTTCTTGCACATTTGTACTGAACCATCACATTTCTCAGAGTAAGGTTTGTTGATCAGCTCAGTTTTAAGTGTGCAGCCTTTTTGTGTAAAACTTCATAAAGTAACTGATTTGATTTGGAATTTAAATATTCAGCCTTTTTAATTTCAGGTATTAACTGGCAAACAATTTAGAAGAAGATATCGGCTTCACCTTGTTTCCCCAAATGTCAATATTAACACTTCTTTTCCCTCCCACACTACATTTAAATCAATTCAAATCATACAGATTATAGTTCAGGTTTTTTTTTTAATTTTAAACACTTTTATGAACATGGTTTGACTTTGTCTTTATTATCTTCATGGAGAACGGCATCAAAGTTTCTATTCCGGTTTCTCAATCTGTTCTGCTTTTGAATCACAGTTCCTCATTAAGTCTCTCCATCACTTAGACAACGTTGTACTCATCTGATGTGGTAAAGTGTCCCACTCTGTCTCTGGCTCACAGTTTAAGTATTGATGCCTGATGTTGCTTGATTAATAAAGTCAAACAAATGGCAGAATGACAAATACTGATAATTAGCACCAAATCCTCTAATTGGAAATTTTCCAGAGCTCTCTGCCACATCTCATGGCCTTCATCATCAACGGATGGAGTTTGATGAAGGTCCCGAGATGTGGAGGAAAGCTTTGGGAAATTTACAGTTTGAAGATTAATTTGATTTTACGATAAGGAATTAGGAATTCTTGTTTGCTAGTCTAATTTGTGCCTTTTTCCTTTTTTCCTTATCCTTTTCCTTTTTTGTGTTAGTACTGAAGGGTCTTTCTTCACCTCCTTAGGACTTAGGAAAGTATTTTATTTTTCTCAGGATTTATGGACTTTTTTAACCAAAATGTCGAAAATGTGTCCAGCTTTTGTTTTCAGTTTAAAATGCTAAAAATATGCTTTATTTTGGTGATGATCTTGTCTATTTTGTGTTATTGATGTGATGTTGTCCTGTCTGTTCCTATACATCGGACTCCGTGTTTAAGGGCCTTTTTCCTTTCTGCCTCAACACTGTCTCATGACTTCCACTAAGTTAGTTTGTCTTTTTCTAATCATCATGAGGCGCACACATTATAAAATACTAAAATTATTTGCAAGATGCTGGCTAACAATTATCTGCACAAAAAGCCATAATTGTATTTAAAAAAATTGTTTTTTCATTTTCTTCTTTCTTCTTTTTGTGAGAATTTAATGTAAAAATAATAAACTTCAAAGTTGTGCTTTGTTTTTTTTCTCGTTGCTGTAAAACACTTCGATCAACTGTGTTTAAATCATTCTCTACTATACGGTTTATATGTGATTATTCAGCTGTGAGAGGGATTTAAAACGTCTGCGCTACATTACCACACAACGGTTGCATGACTTTAACAAAAATAAAAGCAGACATGATGCTGATGATTCTCCATCTAAAGGGTGTTTAAAGAAGCTGTATCTACTGATTTAACTGTGTAGAAAGAGATTGCTGCGAGGAAAGGAACATTTTTTAAGTATTTTTGAAAATGGGTTGAAACGTCCAAAAACACTGTAATGATCCTTTAACCCCCCCCCCACACACACACACACACTTTTTAAGTAAAAGTGTAAAATTGACAAAACATTCAAAAGGCAAATTCAAATTAAAACAAATACATTCAGAAATCAACTTATACATTCTTTCTAATGTCTAAACAGTAAATGTATGTGAAATGGCAGTATTCTTCTTTAAAGTAGAATACAGCAAGTTTTCTTTAAAATGAACTGAATGTAGTAAAGTGAAAGCGTACTTGTTCTCTGAGGGCAGCATTTTCTGTGGCACTCGCACTGGCCCCCCCTCCGGCATCGGATACCAGCTTTAGGATAATACACAGTGAAGTGTTAGCACCACATTAGCGTGTTCCACGTAGCATTATTCCTGCTTCACAAAAGATTTCCCCAGCTGCTCTGTGTCCGGCCAAAAATCTCTCAGTGTGTTTTGAGCCGCGGCCGCAGGGTTTGACATTTTACACCGAGTTTCATAAGGGAGGATTACTGTAAATCATGACCAATGTAACCAGAGTCACAAAAAATGTTGCCCAGTGGAGCTCTGTCTCTCGGCGTAGCGTTCATTATCTGGTGTAGTGTAGCAGAGAAGGGTCACAGGGGTCAACAGTGGATTTAATACGGTTTGTTTTCACATTATCACCTCGTCAGGAGGGTCACAGGATCTGGTCCCGCCCTGCTCATGCTGACAGAGGGGAGCGACGGGACTGAGGGCGAGGAAAAGGGTGTTTTTATTCCACACAATTAGTTTGGAGTGAGATATGTGCAAGACAGGACTGTGATATATTCAGTGTAGGAAAATGGCTGCAGGAAGGACGAGGCAAAAGGCCACAGCAGAGTGAAGAGACAGAGAGGGAAAAGAGTATCGGTTTACTGAAGTGTTACAGGATTTTAGGATTACGTTGGCTCAATTTTCACAGCAGAGTCTAATGTAAAAAAGAGAATATGCTGAAATGTTGCTGAACATAAATAGTTTATTCCTAATATTTGGGTGTAACATCTCATAGAGCACGAAAGAAATATCAATATAGGTCATTTTTGCATTTCATGATAAAATAATGATTTTAAACAATCCTCATCAGGACAGACTTTGCTGACATAACAGGAACTTGCAACTTATACAGAAGCCTGCATCTTATACATTAAATACTATAATACTTTAAATCAGAGGTCTTCAACAGGGGGTCCGCGGCCCCCAGGGGGTCCACGGAGGTACTACAGGGGGTCCGCGAAATTTTTGGTTGATTAGAAAATTAAAAAAAAAAAAACATTTCTCTAAAAATGAATCTGTCCATTATTTTAATAGTTCAGTATTGTATGAAAGATAACAGGTAGGTTTATGCATGGTAGTGGCACTAATGGCATCAATTTGAATAGCTTGTGTGCATGATTATCATGCAATTGACAGACAATGTTGATATTGGCATTGGTATCAGCTGACAAGGTATGTTTCTAAACGGCAGTGGCACGGCCACCCTACTCACTGTACCTTGCACATGTTTAATATAAAAACATGAATATATGAACCTGTGTATTATTTGAATAGCTTAGTAATGAATACACAATAAAGAGGTATACACGGTACTAGGCCCATTTAATATAAAACACAATTTTATAAAATATATATAGTCGGGGGTCCCTGCTCCATCTCTCTATCAGTTTGGGGGTCCTTGGCCTGAAAAACGTTGAAGACCCCTGCTTTAAATTATATATTGTATAATAAATAATATAATATACTTTACTTTTAAATATGTCTGTTTTTATTTAAGACATTAGATATTTTGATTACTTAAAAGTTGAAATAACCATTTAAATTGTAAGCCAATGCTGTAATACTACTAATGCTGGAAAGCATAAACCAGTACATTTTAATTTAAACACAGGACCGAGGATGTGATTTAGTGTTTTGCATGTCAGCGCAGCAGTTTGTGAAAAATTGAACATAGCAGTTGAGAGTTTTGTTGTTGTAAAAGCAACCACAAAATACTGCAATATCACAGCGGAATAAATACAAATAGAAGTTCTAATTTTTACTTAAAGAGACATTCCCCCCCCCCCCCCCCCCCCCAAAAAAAATCAAAAATATTTTTTGTCCCACTTCCTTCCCTTTGGTGCTATTTAATCATCTAGTTTGTTTTGCTGCGAGTTCCCTAGTTTTGGAGATATGAGCCGTAGATCTCTCCAATCCAATGGGACTATCTGCCACTCGGCTTGTGGCGCTCAAAGAGCCAAAAACTACATTTGAAAAAAAACTCAGCAGAAATGTCTCTTCCCATAAATCATTACATGGTTACTCAAGATGATCCATAGAGCTTGTTGTGAGCAGTTAATGCAGGAACTATGAATATTAGATTGACAAATAGTGCTACAGGTAAGAGGAAGAATATGTAGTTTTTGATGTTGGGGTGAACCGTCCCTTTAAGTAAAATGGTTACAGGGAACCAGCTACAGTTAATTTGCATTTACTGAATACATTTTGAGGGAAATGTAATGCTGATTTTTAAATCAACATATGAACAAAATATTCACTGCCGGCACTTTTCATTTGTTTTTCTTGGAATATTCGCTCATGAGTGCTCTGGTATGATAAAGGTGTTTGAAGTTCACACTCAACAAAAAGAATAAGAGAAACAGTCTGCCGCGAGTGCTAACTACAGTATTTTAAATGTGGATGAATACGCTGCGGAAAGTAGTCGCCAACAAATGCACTATTTCCTCCTGTTTGTTTGATAAAAACTACAGTAACCAGCTGTTTTAGGAAATTACAGAGCCTCTAAAAAAAGAAGAAAACTACTGTTTTTAAAGATTTACATCTTTAGTAGGAACCAGTGGGCTCGGAGCTGAGAGTCACAGCCAGGAAGGCAGACGGTATCGAGAGATGGACTAAAACCGTTTGAGTCTGAACATCGGATTTGATGACTGTACGAATAATATAGAATATAACCAGACTCATCCTTTAACCGTGTATGAATAAAGGTTGACTGAATAAAACAACAAACATTAAAGGGTCTGCTGACCTGCATCTCTTCAGTTTGAGTCAAGGTGGATCAGAGGAGATAAGGATGGTCAGAGGAACTATGAGAAGCATGTGCAGGTAGAAGAGGAGGAAATGAAACAATAACAGACAGCAGTGTGTGTGTGTGTGTGTGTGTGTGTGTGTGTGTGTGTGTGTGCGTGTGTGTGTGACGGTGGTGTTAACATGTGGTTATTGTGGTATCAGCTGTGCTTTTTCATCTGGAGACACTTGTGTGATTGATGTTCTGCAGCAGAGAGCAGAGGACAAGTTAGTACTGAAGTACAGTTTGTGCAGTATACTTGACTTGACTATTTTGGAGATTTTACATTATTTCATAAATCTTTCTTTCCTTTCTGCTGCTCTTCACACTTTCCTTTTTCCTTTTCTCTTTTTCTTCTTTCTGTACTTTGTTTCATTCCTCCTTCCTATCTTAAGTCATTCCCTTCTTTCCTTGTTTCCTTCGATGTGTAGTTTCTTTATTTTTTGTTCCTGTTTCCTTTTCTTTTCTTCTTTCCTTTCGTCCGTCTTTAACCAAAGTAAAAGCACAAAAATCGCAAAACTGGACATATGAGACTTTCACTCAACAGCGAAACTAAACTCTAAACGTCTTCCACCATTGCTTATTTTGAAAACTTTACAAACAAATTAATAATTAAGGGTTTTATGATTAATTCAAGGTGAAGCATGACGCTTTTATTTGCAAATGACATCATCATTTTACTGTTGAAACCTTTTAATTTTGACCTCTTGAGGGCACGACTCTCTTCACTGTGGTTCTACTCAAGTAGTTTGAGTTCTTCTTCCGCTCTGTGCTGCAGATCAGCGGTGTTAACAGTCAGTGCAGAAGCAGTGCAGAGTGTAAACAGGGTGTGTTGTTGTAACTTGAATGTGAGGTTAAGGGGTGGTGTCAGGTGAGAGAGCAGAGTGGACTCTACCTGTAGGGGGCAGCGTTGCCCCAGGACAGGTAGTCGTTTGGGCGTGGTGCAGGGCGCGGTACGATTGGCTGCTCCACCGCCGTCACGTCTCCTGAGTACGATTTGAGGAGCGAGGCGTTTTTGCTGGCCAGCATGGCGCGCTCGTTCCTGCGGAATTTAGCTCTCCTGTTCTGAAACCAAACCTGGAATCAAAGAAGACAACGGGATTAAGATGCTACAATCATTACAAACTCTTTGCAGAAGCATTCAAAGTTTCAAAGATGCCAAATAATTAGGTTGAACCTGGGTGGCTTGGATCTGAAAATTACACACAAGACATCGAGAACGTTTCTATGTTGTGTAATGGTGCAGCCATAGAAACAATAACAGGAACCAAACCAAAACATTACTATTTGTATTACATGCAGGGGAATCAGAAACAATGTGCCTAGAATCAGACACTTTAAAGGGTAAAACAATGTGATCTTGAACAAACTGAAGTAAAGTTCAAAATGTTGCTCTGCTCCTCAGTCTGCTCTTACATTGTGTGACACTATGATCTCAACTCAAAGCTCCACCATTTAGCTTTTTCTTGGGAGCTCTCTACCACACCTCATATCTCCATCAGTGGGTTAAACAACGTAAGGTTCTTGGTTGTATTCTGGCCTGAACATAAGACGTCTCTCACGTGAGTTGACTGTGTTTCTCTGCACCATGAAGTGAAATCAAATTAAGGAACAGAGTCCATGAAAATCTAAAATCCAAATTTAAAAGAACCAGAAGTGGTTTTTTTCCTGGATAATTCTCTGGCCTTAAACTCTTTTCTCAGTTACAAACTTGATATTCTCACATCCCCACTCGCTTCAACAAACATCCTTCATCTCCAATTCACCATCCACCCCTCATCAGCCTCCCCTCCCCCTCCTCTTCTTATGAACATACCCCCTTCCCTTTACCAAACACACGATGATGTGACTCGGGGGTTTGCTAGTGTTGTTCCTCGCTGTGAAATCAAATCCATTATTAGATGCCGTGGGCGCTCGCAGGGGCTCTCCGTCTGCTGACGCACAGCCTCAGGAATGAGCCCAAAGTCTCTTCTATCAAAGCGTTTCTGCATCGCTCTCTGCTACACATTATCCACAGATGTGCCGCTTCTCTCCCTCCGACATCGCCATTTCCTCTTTCCCTCTCTCTCTCTGCTCACTGAACAAATACTCACTGGTGCGTTTCGGAAAAGCAGGCAATTCAAAGACACAAAAACAAACAATGGTACAAACACTAGTTACATATTAATGCGCAGTGAATGCATTGGATAAACAATTGCATAAGGCAAGTGTGCATTTCTCTTCTAGTTGCATGTGCTTATCTTGAGCTGCTTATGAGTAGAACAAATGTACTTTCATTTCAAAGTTAATCCAGGACAACCAAGAGTGTCATTTCCAATTAGGGACACAGGGGGACATGTCCCCCCTCAGTTATCAGGATCCCAGTTTTGTTTGTCTGGCTTTTACAGTTGCAGTTTGAGTGACTCAGGAAAATCACCGAAGACAGAGTCCTCTCTTTAGCTGATATATTCAAGATGAAAGAAAATCTGATTACATAAATGCAGATATACAATCTCACAGCTTCATGAGCAACAGCAAGTATTCATGAACTTGCCCTAGTTTTTTTTTCTGTCCGGCCAAAAATAGGTTTTGGAGCAACTCGATTGGTAGCGCTCGATGGGGCTGCAGGGATGTTCTGATCACACAAGTCAGAACTAGAAATGTACACTCGTGTTTTTAGAAAAAAAAAATCAATGCATTTAGATTTACATGTGTAATGTTTACAGTTTTTCTCAAAATGGTGAATTCACATTCAGTGGTTTTGTCACTTGAGCACTTTGTTGGCCGGTAGAGTAGCAACAACACACTCCCACATTCATTTCATTCTTTCATGGTATTTATTTCTTTATTTTGTGGTTAAATATGTTAAAACAGCCTTATCTCAGTCTCACTTCTCTTTCAGTGGAACTAAAGGTTGTTTTCAGTTGCCTTCATAAAGAGACACTAACGCAGCATTTCTAATTCTTTTCTTAAGTGTGATCAGTTACATAATGATGAAAACATAACTGCATGTAAAGACAGAAAGTATAGCATTCACTTTTCTCGACGGCTGTGGAAATATTGAATCCATGTTCTTGGGTTGTTTCATTGACGACATTCGGAAGAGCGATCTCACTCATTTGGCCAAAATGCCGCATCATATTTAGCTCCTGTTCGGCTACAGCCCTCATGTGTTGCACATTTTATCGCTGATCTGTAAACCGCTGAGGAAATTAGACAATCAGTTCATCCACTTTTCTGATCACAGCCGGTCCCTCTGGGGAGTCTGCAAGCTGCTCAAAGGCTCAGCGATTAGTATGATAGAGGCTGTTTGTGAGGTGCTGGCGAGTTCTTATCAGTTCCTCTAAAACCTCATAATGGAAGGACTAAACATGTTAATGGACCCTGATAACTGCTAGCCTCTAAGTAGGATTATTAACTGCGTCTATAAGTGTGTTTATTTTTGTGTGCCTCCTGTGAAAGTGGTTGAAAGGGGAAAATGACTACAGCCCTCCTTCTTCTACGTGACTACTTTGAAATCTGGTGAGTTTTATGGCTCTTCTTCTGCTTTGATCAAAGGTTAAACCCATCTGATGAATTACTGCTGCTGAAGGAAAGCCTTCAAACTTCAAGGAATCAGGCTTTTATTTTGTAAGGGAGGAGGATGTGTCAAAAATAGAAGTCTCTGAATGACTCTGGAGGTCACATGAGATTAACAGGTTTCCCCCCGTGCGTACCTGGACTCTGGCCTCGGTGAGGTTGACCCGGCGGGCCAGGTCCTCTCTGACGAAGGCGTCGGGGTAGTGTGTCCTCTCAAACACTCTCTCCAGAGCCTGGAGCTGGCTGCTGTTGAAGGTGGTCCTGTTCCTGCGCTGCTTCCTCTTCTTCTTCTCCTCCGTGTTCATCTGTTCATCTGCAGGGAGAAGAAGGAGGCGATGTAACCTCAATAAGACTCGATGGGAACACAGTGCTCCCATTGGTGCTTGTAGTTTGTAGCTACGGACGCTTTGCCCGAGGAGATGCAGAAATAGCCCCAAAAAACCGAAAGCCTCGTGTCGAACCACGTTACATTTTAATAATAAATACAGCTCCCTGCATTCATGCAACAACTGCTGCTGGATGCCGTTCTGAGAAGATGCTGCCTTCTCAGACCTCAATCAGAAATAAATATAATAACAGAGCCTTTAAGTACGCAACAATGACGAGGACCATAATGAAGAATTTGAATGTCCCGTGGTAAATTGTTAGTATATTAATATTCAAAAATCTGCAGATGTGAAAAGTATCAACGTGCTTTTTATTAAATAGGAAACTGTAAATTAGCATTAAAATACTGCTTACACATTAGTATATCAATAACTCTTGATGTATTGATGGCAGTTCTTCAAAATTGAGCATTGGGAGCAGCTTTAGGGTTCAGGTCCCGATCAAGAACTTCACCCTTCGATTAATACGATCCAACCTGCTCTACACGCAACCTACAGCTGCTACCGCGTACCTACTGTGAGTACAGGTAATACTTTTACTGTTCAACACAGAACTTTTGTTTAACAGGACGTGTTTACATTATAACTGTTTCTACTTACGGGAAAGATCTGAATTCTGAATACTGTTGACTGATAATCTGATAACTAAAGATAGCAGATAACTAAAGAGAGTGTACCTCTGCCAAGACTGCTCAATCCTCACAATCAATACGTGAAACTGTGTGGCATCTGAGACTGGTGTCATGTAAACTACAACGCTCTCATTTTGCATATCCCCCCCCCCCCCCCCATGCCCAAAACATTGTCTTTAAAAGAAATAAAATGCACAAAATGACAGAGAAAATAAAATTATGCTACCTCGATGTGTTGACCCAAATAAATAAATAGATAAAAAGATATATGTGTGTGGAGCTTATTACAATAATTCAACAGTAAGGGACGGTGTTCTCTGTGGGTTATCCTTATCTATGCAGACTATGATGTGAGCAGCACTAACGAAACTCCACTGTATTGGTGTGGAGGCAGAAATGTCAGAGACCATCTAAAAACATGGAGAGACAACACTAACATTAGGTGACGTGATTATTTAAAAGATCCTTTGAAAACAAATCCTGGATCTGCACCGAAAAACAGCAGACTTGATCCTCGATCCAACAGCCTGACTAACCAACAAACAGACACACGTCCAGGCAAACAAACAGCATAAATCCAGAAAGCGTTCTGGAGCCCGAGCACCTTCCAGCTGCATGTGAACATGTTCGGTCTGAACGCTCCTGTAGGCTGGAAACAGTGCTGGTGCCTTGTGGCTGCACAACAAGACCACAAAATAACACTTTCACATCGAAGAAAGAAAAAACGAGACCGTGATCGTCCATGTTCCTGCCTAATTACACACTCACGAAACAATCTGTAGCTACACACACACACACACACACACAGAGAGAGAGGTGGGAAGTTACTCTGTACATTTACTCATGTTCTCTAATGCAGTACAGTTAAGGACTTCATAAACCTCATTTGAGTATTTTGATGTTGAGAGACTTCAGGGGGAAATCTATTTTTCTCTGCATTATGTTTATCTGACAGCTAGAGCGATGACTTACTTTGCAGATTCAGATTTAACATTCGTCATAAATAAAAATGCCTTTTAGTCAGGGATAAAAACTTTTCGAATTCATGCAAGACAGAAAATAGAATTGAAATGCTGCCAGTTTTAAATGCCAACAATCTAAAGTTATTCATTTATTATTGTAGTCTGAAGATGTACTTTTTTCTTATCTAAGAGTTTGACAAAGGGGTTATTTCTTTGGATTATATGAAGTAAGTGGTGGAGGACAGACGTCTAAATCAGCCTAACATCAGTAGTTTGTTACAACACGTCTTTTATGATCATTGTTTTGATAAATGTGACTTTTATTAGCGGTTTGGCTGAAAAAAATCAGATTCATGAAATGGGTTTAACATAGTTAATAACATGCAGATGATCAGTGTGAATATTTGGCAATTTGCTGATTAGACAAATGAAATCTCCCAGCATTAACTTTTAGCTGATGCAAAATAGTCGCATATGAATGCAATTCTTCGAGAGAATCGTCTGATTCCTTGTTTACCGTTTTACTTCAGTGTACATTTTGAAAGCCACGGCGGTATTGATACTTTTTCTTAAAAGATTTGAATCCTCCCTCCATCACTCAGCAATGTCATGTAAAAGTCTTCTACCTCCAAAATGTCAACTCACTGACCAGACGACCTTTAAATATAATCCAAAGATGAAAAAGTTCAGTCTTTACCTTATAAACTTGTAGTATAACAACAACAACAACAACAACAACAACAACAACAACAAATCAGAACTTTTGACTGCATCTCATTCCTCAGCAGATGGGGATGGCAGTGAATCTGAAATATCTAAAGTTTCAGATCAGTTTCTCAGCCTGTTTTTTAGAGGTACAAGGTTTTAAGCCGATTTGATATCCATAACAATTTTACTTAATTCATATTTTAAATTTTTAGGAACATTTTAACTTCAACACTCACTTAAAGTGTAAGTGCATACATTGCCTTTATTAAAAAATGTACAGGAGACTTGCACCAATCGTCCTCGGCTGGACTCGAACTGAGGAAGCTGTGAGTACACGTTCAGAGCTAAATCCTGATGCAGAACTTGTAATAGACTGCTTTTACTTCGTCCACACACACACACACACACACACACACACACACACACGCACACACGCACGGCTCGGTGTCACACACACACACACAGATGCTGCAGTGTGTCAACACTGAGCCTGTTTGCTTTGTTGTCTAATGAGGGAAAAGCTCCCCCCCTGCAGTCTCAGCCCATCAGGACACACTAGATGTAAACTCTTACATCTGCTGGTTTTAAATGACAGAAGAGACAATAAAGAAATAACTACTTGTGACCCCAAAGAATAGTCTGGGTTGAAATACAGTTTGGTTGTTGAAAGGTTTGAAAGGATTGAAGGATCTTTACGGCCTGCGTGGTTTACGCATTCAGTATTTCACCAGAAAAAAAGAGCAAAAATTAGAGAAAATGATTTTGAGAGAAAGAAAAAACTATTCTTGCTCTTTGATGAATTTAATTTGATCATCCTGTGACCTCTCATGTTGATCCCTCTGAGGATCCAGATCCAGAATGTATTCACCTTCTACAGCTGATGTGAATCTTAAAGATGCAAATTAACAGCAGAACAATGGAGGAAACCAGAGTTTCACTAATATCAATTTACTAAAAATACTGTTTTAATATCGTTGATGGTAACATGTAGTCTACTTTTAACATGTAAAAAATGCTCATTTTCATTTCTTGAGACTGAGAAATGATTGATGCGTTGCAGGTTTTATCAGGTGCAGCCCCTGTTGTTGTAGTGTTGTGGAGACGTTTTAAAAAGCTGCTGCACAATCCCTTCGGCCTTTCAACGGTTTTTAAAATGAAACTGCACCCATTCATCGCTCTGTGAGCGGTTTACCTGAGAAGTTAAACAGACTGACTCTTAGTGAGAAGTTCATCTGTTTTTCTGATATTCCTTCTTTTTGTTAAGAAATTCTCCTAATTTCTATTCCTTTGTGGAGATGGTGTTGAGAGGGGTGTCTTTTTGTTTTTGTGCTGTTTTGCTCTTTAAAAGAAAAATGATATATATACAGTATATTCAGACTTTAAGATTAAGAATACAATCAGAAAAATAAACTGCATTTTGTGAAGCTGTTTTTTTTCTTCTTCTTCCTAATCCTGTTAATCCTTCCGTGACCTTTCACACTTTATCTGGCCTGCCCTCTGTGGGGGTCCTGACCCCGCAGTTAACCATCTATAGATTAAAAACGTTAAAACACTAAGTAATTGATGAATTCATTATGCCTTGACAAAGTAAAACTCGAGATGTCAGATAAGTGAGAGTTTTTAACATTGCATTTTATTATTATTATCACCATTGTTATTGGTTTAATATTATTTCCATATTTTCCAAAAATATGTACCTGCAATGAAATCTGCCATATGAAAAGAATTTCTAAAAATAACAAAAATTTCCTTTTTAAATAGAAAATAATGTACCAGAAACTATATTGTGTGCTAATATGATATATTTGAGGTATTGTTTAATAAATGTAATTCCCGCAGTTGTGAATATATTTGTGGTTTATGAGGAAACAGCTCGACCAGCTGAGATCAGAGATCCCTCCTGTGACTCGGACTTGTTCTCCATCAGTGCAGCAGCTCTGAGGCGGCACACTTTGGATCAGTTGGTAAATCACAGGCTGGAGGATTCTTGAGGAGTCGGACAGTAAAGTGCGGCTGTAAATGCTGATGGCAGCCGCACATGGCTAACCAGCGACCGCGCATAGCTTCCTTCTAAAAAAAAACTAAAAAAAACAGCCGTTTTACAGGCTCGAGGTTCAAATGAAAATCATGACGCACTTCATTAGTCCGTGTGGTGACGTTGCAAGCGGAGAAAAGTGCGACAACAAGATGAGGTCTGTCAGACGGAAGAGTGAGATAATAAAAAAATACATATTAAAACGACAGAAAGTCGGTTAAAGATGATTGTGACTTGACCGTTCAATATTTCATCTACGGAAATTACTATTTTCAAAGCAACTGTAGAGCATTTAAATCGTTCGACGCGTTTACAAATGGTTAATTGAATCGCATGACAAAATAAAAAAAATAATGAATCTATCTTTTCTGTATGAATGCAATATTTTTACTTTACTTTTCATTTAGCACAGTGAAGATTCGGCGGGGACGAAAACAATTGTATCCAAAATATGTAAATAAAAACGTATATTTTTTCTAATAAATTCAAATGAGATTATATTCTGTCAACTTCAAAAGAACAAAATATGAAAGATAAAGTCTGAATATCCCCAAAAGGGATCTCTCTGTTTATTTTCAATAGTCGCGCGGCGGTTTGGCCTCGGAAAGCCTTTAATCAAGGTGACATTTAAACTAGAAAATCAAAGCTATTCCCGCCATCATTATGATCATCATCATCCTGCAGCTGCCATTGTGACCAACACGTGTCAGTAGACTACTGATCTCATTAGCAGCCATCAGTGGAAGTCGATTAGTCCTCCTGCCAAAGCTCATTGGCGAGAGGAGAGGTTATTGATTCCTAAAATAATAAAACAAACATACATTTATTTTTTGCAATTTTACTTTGAAATGTTTTATTTTGGATGTGTGATCATAGTCTATTTGGCTACTATTAATGGCAATTTGTGAAATTGATTAAAAATGCCAAAAGTCATACTGCTGCTTTCACCTTCCTGTCAATAAATCGGAAAAAAATGTATATGAATTAGGCTCTATAATTAGACTCCTACACATGCCATTATATCTGAATCTTGTATACATCTTAAAATGTTTCCTGAACCCCACTGATTCATTCTAAAATCACCTCTCAACGGCATATAGTTCCGATGAGATGCTGTTATTTGATTCCTTAATTGTTGGCGCGAGGACACGCGCGGTAATTATGACAAATGATTTAGGCTCCGATATTCTGACTGTTTGACAGGCCGAAAATAACCGGGAATTAACGACGTGACCCGGCCACTTCCTCCCGCATATTTCTCACACGATTTTTAGCCTTTTAAAAAACTAACAATAACACTCATTAAAGCCCATAACGTTCCTGTCAGCCGCAGCAAATGGCCCTTTGAGCAGAGGAAGAGGAGGAGGCAGGAGGGAGCGTTTATTTACTCTCTCAGAGGTGCGCCGGAGAGGGCCAGTGGCGGGTTTTTGTGGGTTTATCCCTATTTTTGTCAACTTCCACGCATGCAACGGCGCATTTAACACAAAAAGCTGGAAATAATAACTCCGATTGTCAGGTTGGGGCTTGAGCGGGAGCTCAGCGAGCGCTACCCGTCTCTTAGCTCACCAAACGGCACAGATTGGCCACATGTTTTACGCACGCGCGGAGGAATGTGTTGGTTGAGGGAAAAAATGGCACATCATTATTTAGTGATAAATGAACATATATATTTAGAATTAAACTATCATACACGTGACGCTATCGTCACGTGACTCACTGTAAATATTTTCAAAATGTATGCATTTTTACTCGATTTGATTTCTCTTTCGTAAAAAAAGATCAAAACGTGCTCGATCAAGAAACGTGGCCTCGTTTAGGTCATGAAGCGAGAGATGCGTTACCCCCGAGTTTGACTCGCAAGGTTCCTTCACTCACCATGTCCACCAACATCACCATACCTCACTGACATCAAAGTGTTAATGGTGAATTAATGGCCGTTTTGAGGGGGAGGCCGTCAGGGATGATGCATTGCCAACACTCACTAAAGGATTCCTTCCGTGCGCGCAGCATTCTGCAGAGCTCCATTCATGCGCTCTGCACGCGGACACACGCCAGATCTTAATGAAAACAAATGACTTTATTTTCAGCTGCTCATTAGAACTGCATTTGTGTGAGATCTGCGGTGGGTTTTTTTCCGGGTGTCGAGCCTGATAACTCGAGGTTTTTCACACCGAGGCTACAATAATACACACCCGGGAAGGAAATGTAACATTTCGGTCACAAGATTTAAAAGTTGGTTTTGATCTCCTCTGCTCAGTCCCAGCCTGTGAGGCTCTCGAACGGGCTGCTTTTCACTTACTTTCCTGCTGGGTCGTGTCGCTCCCGCTCGTCAGCCCCGGGGACTCCAGCATACTCCTCCCCGCCTCCCCGACGCTCTCGTCCGCCTGGGTGCCGACCATTTCCCCGGCCTCTTCCAGATCCAACAGGTGGCTGACCGAGAAGTTCTTTTTGGCTTGCAGGTTGTCCAGGTTCGACGTGATCGGACTCTCCAGGCGGTTCGATAGCGAGGCTTGCCTGTCCATTACATGTGCATAGCTAGAAGTCATGACGCAAGTGGGGGAACAGTGTTAAAAGAATTTAAAAAACGGAGCGCTGATGAAAGAGAGGAGTCAACAAGCAGCCGAAAAGATCCGTTCGTGCAGAGCGCACGAGCTCCAGAAACCAGCCCGAGAGATACTCGGTTCTTCCGAGGCGGAACGCGGATCTGTTCACATCCAGATCAGCCGCGCAGGGCTCGAACAAACTCCTCGCCTGTTTTTTATCCCGACCGATCAAACCCTCACAGACAATCCATCCAGCGGCGCGCGTCAACGGCAAACGAGGAAAAATATCAGCCTGTCCTGCTGCCTGAGAGGGAAAAGTCTCAAAGACGCGTTTCGCAGAAGTCCTCTGAGGAGAAGGAGCTCTCTTCCCACTCTGGCTGAGTCACATCTGAGCAGGAAGGGCTGCTGCTGCTGCTGATGATGATGATGACGACCAGATGCGCGAAGCTCCGTGTGTGCGCAAAAACTTGCTCAGCGGCAGCTAGGCGCGGGGAGGCAGGACGTTACTGCCGCTCCTCCAGGCTATAGACCCCGTAGTCTCTCTCTCTCTCTCGCTCTCTCTCTCTCTAATGAAAGAGAGCCCCGTAATTACGTGGCAATGCCTTTATGTTGTGTCTGACGTTTCACAGGCCCTCACCAAGAGCTGCCCCCTCCTCCTCCTCCTCCTCCTCACCCCCCTTACAGGCAGAAACATCACCATCAGCACCATCAACACCCTGGTTTGGCCTGTTTTTGTTCCCCTGGCTGGCAAACCTCACCGCCTAATGAGTGTGATCGGGTGGGGGGATCCAGGGAGCCAGCAGTCTGCAGGGAGACACTGGTGTTATCACTGTCTGTGTGTTGATAAACCCTCTCCGACCGTCCTGCGGTCTGCCACCGATTAAATCAACTATCGCCCGTTCCCGTCACCCTATCCACAGATCTATGCTCACGAGGCTGAGCTGTCAGGGCAGCAGGGAACACAAATATAAAGAAGTACAACTGGATCCATGTCTTCAGAAAGAGAAAATGGAGTTGGGAAAAATAAATCTAAGCAATCAGCTGTTTGGGGCCACCAGGGGCCCCCAATTGTGCAACAGTAAAATATGACAATTAAAGCTGAACTAATTGACATTTTTGATAAATACAATGGATTGCATGACTAACGCCACATATGAGGTGAAAAGTGACATGCATGCGTAACAAACCCAAGAGATTTGTCACCAACTCTATGGAGCTTTTTAGCCTCTTTTAGCTATAGTTTTGGTTGTTTCCATCAAACAAGGCCTGATGAATCCAATGTGCATTACCTGCCCAGCACCAGTGGTGGAAAGTAACTAAGTACATTTACAGTACAGTAGCCTAGTTAATGTTACTGTGAGGAACTTTAGCTGGTTATGGAATGGTCTCAGATAATACTGATTCCTCTATATGACCTACATGTAAGTAAACAAGACCATCAGCAAGAAGATTGTCTATTTCTATATAGTTATTGTTATTGCTTGTCATCGGTGCCACCGGGTCTGATTCCACGTAAAATCTGATGAAATCATGCAGGTAAACTAAAACTCCTTCAGCGGGGCCTTCTAAATCTGGCTTCGCTGCAGCCTTCAATCTGCAGTCTGATCTACGGCGGCGTAGAGCTCCTCCTCTGGCAAGAGGCAGAGTTTTGCCCCGCTACACCGACACCTGGAGGCCCAGGCCGTATTGTTGGACTCGCTGGAGGGAAGGGAGACACGGGAAAGCAGAACCAGAACCTCATTTTACTACGGCAGGTCAGACCCTGCTGTAGTAAAATGAGAGGTTTTCTGAAGGGACACTGGCGCTTGGAAACACTACCGCTTTTGTCCACATGGACCGCCAAAATCAACAAGAAATTAAAGTTCCACGTAGTAGCTTTAAGTTCAATTTTGAGGTAATTTACTTGGGTATTTGATGATGATGATGATGATAATACTTTGTCAGATTTTTTCTGTCATCCCTGTAACTCCATTTGTAACATCAACAAAGACAGAAAAAAGTAAGACAAGAAACTATATGCATTTAACATACAATCACCAATCAAGTTGTGGAACCATGTATGTCTAATTTGATGGCAAAAACTTGTATTCACTGTTTAGGACCTCCTTTAGGAGTTGGCCAGCCTTGATATGTTATTATGGTAAGCTGGTGTTTCTCAAGGGGTCATTTGGTGGAGCAGTTTTGACTCCAAAGTGGTGAACACTTTAATACCATGAAGTATTACAATACCGTAGAGTACTGATAGTCACAAAAGTAAAGAACAAAAGAAGAATTTCTCACCTCGCCCCCAAAAAACATAAGGCGATGGAGAAGATAGATTCTTTGATTTGTTTTGTTTGCAGACAGACTCAATGTGGTCTTTCCAAGATAGCAGAGGGTCTATCATAACACAAAGTATGTATATGATGTATGTATTCTGAAGTATGTATTCTTTATGGATAACAACAATAACTTTATGAGAGTCATGTGACCCGCACAATTTCTTCCCTTTTTTGTGTTAATCTCAAGAGCATAATTTAAACTTTATATTGTGCTCCAATGCATTTCAGAGGGAAATATTATACTCTACACTTAAATAGTAACTTTAGTTACTTTGCAGATTTGGATTCTTCTAGAATGATGCATTTATGCACTCATACATATGCAGTAATAAATGCAGATTCAGAATAAAACAATACAAAACCACTGCTACTACTATTACTTACATCAAATATTTCAGCAGCAAACAGCTGACAGATACTATCTGGTGACCAGAGTGGAGAGTTTCGCAGCTAAAGAGACAGGACGTTTTCTCAGGAGTTGGTGGAGACCAAACTAGAGCGAAAAGGAGAATGAATATCGGACTTACATTCGTTAGACTGAAACATAACTGAAATGTCTCTGCTGGTATTTGGTTATTCATATAAAGCTGCTGCTCTGAGGTTTGTCTCATTGCCTTGTCATTTGCGCACTGGACTTCATCATCAAGCAGCAGCTGCAGACTTGCAGATTAATCAGCCACTTGACTGCTCACAGGTGTACAATTCTCAGGTGGTTTACAGAGGCTCAGCTCAGCCAATCAGAGGTGGAGGAGAGACTGGACCGTTCACTCAACTGAGGTCTGAGTTGATGGCATTCCCCCAAAATGTCTATCTCATCCCGTCTCTTCTAATTTGAACTGAGCAGGAATGTTCATGCTCTCAGATCAGTTGAAGAAGGAAGAAAAGGAGATAGAGAGAGTTGCTCAACCCGGGGGCCGGGACTCGTCAAGGTAAACCTGGTGGAGTAAAAGTCTCTCAGTGAACTGTAGGTTAGTCAGGGTTGGAGAGGTGGTGGGGGTGAAGGGATGAAGGAATGGAGGGAGCAGGGTGGTGGTGATGCGGGGGGGGGGGGGGGGGG